ATGTTTGCGTGTATATATAATTTTACTTCTAAAGTGGTGATTCGTGTTAAGGAGATGGATGTTTCATGCAGGATCCTGTCTTTTGAGCAGCACCATCCTCCATCCTAATAAAAATACCGCAGGAAGGCCTGAATGGAGCAAGCAGGGCTTTGATCCTGCAGCCAGTCGGTTGTTGCCGTTCCCTACGCGTCACGCGGGAATTCCTGCTAGCAAAACGGATGGTAGGGTAGAGTCTGGGGCTTTTGGCTTCTTGGAGACTGGGAGGTTTTGTGTGTCTTTAATTTTAATATCTACAGAATACCTCTGCTTTTCTTTTGCTCCCTGAGCATAAAGGAGCCAATAGGCAATAGTTGGGAAGTTTAAATAGATCCCAGGGTGTATGTGCTCCACTCAGTCCCTGCGGGAGAGCCCCAGACTACGGGAACCTGTCAGTGAACGTAGGGTGTAACTTAGCAGCGTAGAAACTTAGTAAGCAACGTGCTGTGTACATACTAGACCTGCTCCACGCTTTCCCTTTTTACTGATTTCAGAGAATGTGCTCATCATTTTCCAACTGTAGGTATTTAGCAAGGGATCCCTTTAGTAGAATCTTGGTTTATGTCTGCTGAGACACTCTTGAGAAAAATGGGCCACTGCGTAAAGTGTTTGCGGTGTAAATTTTTGGCTCCGTGGAGAATGCTCTAATCCTGTCACACTCTGTGTGTAAAATCGTGGTGGTATTATTGAGCTGCTGTAGTCTCCTTTTTGCCATTTATTGGATCTAGGTGTATTCCTTGGATAAGTTCACATTATTATATTATATATGGGTGTTTGTATTTTTTTTTCTCATACTGTCTTTGTGAGTAACTTTGGGTTTCCTAGCTCTGTATAATCAGTTTGCTTCCTTCTACCCCTTGCTGGCCGTGTTGCAATAGTAAATTGGTGTGCTGTTTCAAGACTGGCTCTCCTGTCAGTCTGATAAGATCGTACCACCAGGAAGGCATAACATTATAATCCCAAGTACAATGCGATCCTGTTCATTTTCGCTTTTGTACTTGTCAGAGGGACGAGAATAAAGGTTGTGCATGGGTGGAAGGTGAAGCTAGAAGTTGAGATAGTCAGAGATAAACCCCTTGCTAAAAGAGATAAATCCTGTCCAGGGACATTTCAGTTTGTAATCAAGGTATTATCTAGAAATGAACTTTCAAAGCAGGTTGGGATGTCCTGACTAATATAGAATGTAAAGCTGGCATAGAGAATACAGAATTGTGATATGCATTTGTGACAGGGGAAAAACATTATTTTATCCTTCATTTCTTCTTAGATTTGGTGCCACATTTGAAAATATAGTCATACCAATACCATGGACAAGAATAATCAGATTACTCTACAAGAAACAGATCTGTATAACCAGAAATTTCTGGTAATTCTAGACTTAGTACATTTTACTGGAAGAAATGAGTGAATTCCAGAAAAAGTCTCTGAAAAAGCCAAAATTTAAGGCATGCCTTAGGGTACGGGGACTTCAGCCCCTTAAAAGAATCCCAGCAATTACCTAACCTGCCAACTTTCCAACAAGATAAATGGAAGCACTGTAGCTTGAAGGTGCCTTGGTTTGAATGAGATGCAGTAAGTAAGGTCTCTCTGTTCTTTACAGGCATCATAGATCTGATAGTACTTATAAAAGAAGAATAGAGTTGGTGCCCTGCTGACTAAATTGTCCTCTAGAGGAGTATTAGTTACAGAGCTTCTTTGTTAACTAGGCTGTATGCTTAAAGCACTGTGAATTTCTCTTATTAGTAGGCTTTTTAATAGCTTTACATATGGATATGCAGAGTAAATGCAAGTATATCCATGTAATTTACTTATATAATGTGTATGTGTACAGTATTTTATATATAAATAAATGTTTGTGATGTGGAAATTGCACATGACTTCATTACTGTTCTGTTAGACTGAGGTAAAAGCAAGCATTAAAATACTGATAATAGGAGAAGAGTAAGGAGACTTCTGCTCTTTCTGTCCAGGTGCTTCACATAAAGTCTTTCTTCGCCTTCTCTTTAATTTCCCAATTAGCTTTTATGGATAACAGAAGTGTTTCTAAAGCCTTTGTACGCTGGAAGTTTCCCAGTTGCTCGCCTACTCAGGCTTTCTACCTTAGAAGACTAGGTAAGGCCACGAAGTGTACGTTAACAAAAAATACAAAGTAATGATGTGCAAACCACCCTGCACGGAACTGCTGGTATTTCTCATTTTAGCCCGCTGTAAGGCAGGGTAAAGGTTGCGTGGCAGAGCCCAGGCATCTGAGCAACAGCCGTTCGTGCCATCCTGAGAGCAGCGTCGTTACCGGCTTTCTTGATGGGTCCAACGAATGAATGCTACCGTAGCATCCTTGGCGGATGAGTTGATTGCAAAGTTCTCCAGCCCGGGGAGGAAACCCCAGGGCTTACGTGGGGAGTGCAAGGCACCACAGGTTTGCTGAGCCCGCCAGCCCTGGCGGAGGGTGGCATGGCGTCGCTCTTTAAATAGGCTGGCATCATGCAAGCTTTCCTCTTCCTTTCTTTTCCGTTTTTGTGAATGAATTGCATCAGGTTGGTGAGGAAATCCCTGGAAGGCAGGCACTTGAGGAAACGCCTGGGACTCTCAATCACTCCACCCCCGTGGGACACTGGAGAAGTCAGATGCAACCTGATGGGAAAAGTGAACTTCGTTCCCGTCCCCGAGTTCTTCCCCACGTGCATGCTTGGCAAGCTGGGGAGATGCTGTGGGGAGCGGGATCAGGTTTTGCCTTGGTTTCTGAACAACAGATATATTTCATCATGGATAGGGCTAACTGCTTCATGGCTTTTCGTTATTTTGGCGTGTTTGTTTTTCAAGTACTTCGTGGCTTGCCGAAGCAAAGGAAAGCTTTAATCCAAATGCCCTTTTAACATTTTTGTTATTCTAAATGGAAAACCCTGTGTTTTCTATATCTTCTATCAGTTGGGTGCCTATCTGGTTTTTTATGCAGAATTTGTATTCCTTTAGAATAGGCTCTATTCTGCTACATTCGGTTTTCAGGGGTTTATTATATGCTTTTCAGCAGCATTTGTTTTATCAGCACTTCCTGCAGCATTTGTTACACATCACGACAGCAGCGATTTGATTCCATTTAGAAGAATACCATATTATGTATGGAAAAGCAGTAATTGCTTACCTGTTTGCCAAATACATTCTACTGTGAAAAATCTCTAGCATCGCTCTATACAGTATCAAAAGGTGTTATTTCTTGTTTACATTTTCTACAGTTAATAGTTTCGACAAAGAAACAATGAAAATCGTTTATTGCCCATTTCACAATTAAATTTCCATTCGTAGGGATTTGGAAGTCTACTCTTGAGTGAATGCAGAGTCCACACATAGATTGAAGTTTCAAACTAATTTTTGCTTTTCATATGCTGAATGAAATACACGTACAATTTTGTGCTTGTCAGAAAAAGCAAAATTAACCTGTGGTGAGAGTTCTGCCTGAAGTATTTGTGGAAATGCACTGGAAATAAGGTCTGCGAGGTGTCTTGCAGAGAGGTCGGGTGGGTTGTATTTACTACCTTTGTGCACAAGGAGGAATAACACGTAGCGTTCTTCGTGGCTTCTGATGAATGTGATTGGTTTTCAAACTGTTAATCCTACTCTTTCTGTGCCTTGGAAGACTGGCTGTGTCTGTCTGTTAGGGGAGACTGGCTGCGAGCCCCCCTCGTAGCTGAGGTAGTCAGCATCAGGCAGCACTCTTCCTCTAAATACTTTCATCCAAGTTCTGAAAAGAACTGCATTTTTTGTTATGACAATCAGGCAGCAGTAAGGCTTTGCTGCTTGGGCGCTCTGCTCAGGCAGAGCCCGGTTCTTTTTGTGCTGCTCGGGCGACAGGTCCCGTTGTCTACGGTGCAACCGCTTGCGTGAGCCAGACAGGTGACGTCAGTAACAGCCAAAGTAACGCGCTCTGTCGTCCCTGTTATTGGAAGCCCCAAAGGTGATTTAATGACCTGGTTTATATGTGAGTTAGCTCTCTGCCTCTTGTTTGTGCCTTAATTCACTAATAACAGTAACGTGCTCCTTTGCTTGTGCCTTGCCAATAGGTGCGGAAGCACGGCTGCCTTTGCGCGTTTCAGTTTGTGTGAGATTTTTCTGTGGTACTTAGGAATTAGCGTTTTTCCTGACTGTTAAGGGGCGCACACGTGCTCTGTCACAGTCTTTTCGGTTTTTCATATCTTACTTTACAATGATTTAAAATACCCCAAATTACTCCCACAGATCCAAAGACCAGTATAACGCCCATGTTACAATTTTAGGGAATATGCCCGGCAATTCATAGTTAGAATTCAGATGTGCTTTGACCTACGGAGGAAATTTCTCATTGAAAATGCAGCAGTTACGAACTAAAAGGGAGCAATTGTGTTGCAGTGTATTCAAATGAAACTGAAGAGAAAGTGTGAATTCTACACTGGTCAAACTGATATTTGATGGAAATAGAGAAGCAGCCAGCCGCCTTGCTCCTGGCTGGCCGGCAGGTCCTCTGCTGCTGCTGAGGGCGATGCCTCTTGTGTCTCTTTGGCAAGGTGAAGGAGCTGCATGTGTGTTACAAGGGCTGCGTATTTCACACCCGTCTTCTCTCGTTTTGGTGATGATGGTTTAGAGAGTGAAGTGTGTAAGCTGTGATTGTAATGGTAGCAAACCCCAAAATGAAATACTGTGTGAAAGTGAAACTGATGTATCATTTTCATTAGTTTTAGTATGCTCAGGCAGAATTTGTGGGATTAATTTTGAAAGCTTAATCCAGATGGAAAAGGTTAAATTCAATGTTGAGTGAATTTGGTTCCAATTCATTTGTTGCCCTTGCTTGTTCTTTTTCTCGAAAGAATTAGAGATTAAGCGGAGAATTGTACATACCATCCTTGCTTTCCGCCATCATTTAACTACACGAACCAACGTTAAAGACAACCTCCTGGTTATCTGCTGCAATAAGTAAACAAACGGACCTCGTCGCCATGCCAGCTCTCGAGTCCTGTGGTCTGAGTATTAGTTCGTACGACTACTTACGTGTTTTTTTCATTTTTCCTCAGGATTTATCTGGATCCATTGACGACTTGCCTACTGGAACTGAAGCAACCCTGAGCTCAGCCGTTAGCGCGTCAGGCTCTACGAGCAGCCAAGGGGAGCAGAGCAACCCTGCACAGTCTCCGTTCTCCCCTCATGCTTCTCCACATCTCTCTGGCATCCCTGGGGGCCCGTCACCTTCCCCTGTAGGCTCTCCCGTTGGAAGCAACCAGTCAAGATCTGGTCCCATTTCTCCAGCGAGTATTCCAGGTAAGTTTGTGCCGACAAACAAAATTAAACCGATAGACGGATTTATTAGATAAATAAATACTCCTGTATTCCAAATTCTTTTTATTTTATGAGAATCCTGCATTTTCTGTAAAAAAATGCATACTTAGAGGAAAATTCCACCTAAATTTCAGCTGCCAAGCCTTTGGATCGCTCAAAATTCAGAACTTGACTCCGCACGCGTGTTTGATAAAGGTCTTTATTATCGATCAATGGAACTGCTTGATTTTAATTTTTATATTTGGTTTGTGTGTCTTCTATCTGTCACATACTACTCTGTACTACTTGCAGGGTCCCTTTTTTGTTCTGACTGTGTATTTTTGTTGGATTTGGCACTTGGACTTATATGGTGGCTTCAGACCCGTAGGATGAGTCAAAGATTTTCCAACCTTGTATTGTGATAATGTAATTTTGGACATGAGTACAGAATATTGTATGAGATATTTCTTAACATTTACAAAGGTCAACGAGTTAGTAGGAATCCAGCCCCACCAGTAATAATTGAAATGCCGATGGCATGCTTGCCACTTGCTCTCTTGTGCCACACAGAGTATGACACATGGTCATTCCTGTACATTCATAAGTTTGTGGAAATCTGTTAAGATACCCGGAAGGAAAAAAGGCAGGCATTAATTCCAGTTCTTACCTTGCCCCCACCCATCTGGCATGTTACTTGCAGGGGGGTCGGGCAGCAATGTGTATTTGGTATGTCAGATGAGTTTATTCTCTTTCTGACGCTGAAGTTTTTTGATTATTTTCTGACATTTTGAATACTAGGGTAATTCCTAAGAGTAGGAGAGCGCTGACATTACCCCAGTGATAACATCAGTTGCTGTGACAAAACCACAAAAAATCAGCATGGAGCTCAGTTAAAAGAAACAAAACCAGTGATGCCTATTCATTAGATATGCTGTGAACCAAACGCAGGTTAGAATTCAGTGAGCGTGTTTCAGTATTTAATACAAAGGTATCTGTGTAAAATGTACTTGCCTGTTTGTATACAGAGGTTAAACTAGATAGGCAAAGGGGAGTAAGCTCAGTGCACGCAGGAAGGTTGCATACTAAATGTGGCCTGAGCTGTCAAGCCCTGATGCTGCATGCGTGCCCTGCAGTTATTTCTTCCCTCTCCGGCCGCTCTGACCAGCAGCACGTGCTCAGGTGGGGCAGGAATAGCAGGGACAGTGGCAGGACTGGAGTATTTGCATTATGTGCAGTATGGTAGCTTTGTACTTGCAGCTTATTTCCCAGTACGTGGCAGAGAAGCCCGTCCCTGTTGTTGGGTGAAGCCAGTTAGTCCACCTTGCTGGAAGGTAACATTTTCCCACAGTCAGACTCAGGCAAGTAAATGGATTGGCATTTTAGCAGCCTGATTATTGA